CATTGCAGCTCCCAGGGCCTGAACTTTGTAGGTAACAGCATTGTGTCACAGTGTTAAAAGGTTGGGGAGAGCCTGAGAGACAGTTGCCCTGTTTAATGTTTACTGAAGCCTGGGAAACCAGTCTTGGCTCCATTTTTACATTCAGGTCAGATGCCAGGGGTTAACATCAGGAAGTGGAGGAGCCAAGACTGAGCCTCACTCATTGCCTTGACCTGCCTGGCCCGCCTCTATCTGAAGCACCCGACACTGTGGACACATGCCCACCAGAGCCCTGCCCAAAGCTGGCACTGGGGTGCATGTGAGGAGATGCTATCTTTGTCTCTGAGGAACCCCACATTCTTCTCAGGAGCTGCAGGGACCATGAACTTGGTGCAAGGGCTGGGGGACCCCCCCACACACACAATTGCCCAGATCCACTCCACCGTGGAGAGCAAGAGCAAGCTCACCCCTAAGGAAGTGGGGCTGGGGGCAGTGATGAGGGTGAGGAGGACAAAAGACTGCTATTACTCCATGCCAAGACTGATAAAGACCTGGGCTCTACTGCTGAAGTCACTCAGTCTGTGTTCCTCTCCTGAGCCTTACAATCATATTTTGGATAACAATGTACAGTAAGTGGTCTGGCCACTATGGAGGTCCAGGCGGTTGCACTGCCCAGGACTCTGTAGCTCTCTTAGCATGCTTCATGTAGACACACGCTGGGATGTTTGCTTGAGGAAATCAGCAAACATCACTGATCCCAGAATATGTCTCAGAACTCAGAACAGGACCATATTCTCGAAGCCAAAACAGGGTGCTGACGCCAAACCACCCAGGCCTGAAGCCTGGCTCTGCTCTTTGCCTGTGAGCTTGGCTCTATCATTTAACTTCCCATGTACCTCAACCCCCAATCTATAAAGTTGGCGTGATAATAATAATACCTCTTTCATGGGTTATTGTGAGGATTGACCTACTTAAGACATTGATTGCCTCTCTATTACTAGGTGGCTGTTGCAACTCCCGCCATCAAATCCACTCTCCGAAGATAAAATGTGGGGAAAAGACTCAGCTTTTTTTTTTTTTTTTGATCTTTTTGTCTTTAAATGGCAGTCCTTCTCAAAAGCATTTGTTTTTCTATACTCCGTTGACCAGAACTGGGTCACATGGGCAACCTTAGTTGCATTGGAGGCTGGGAGGTAACTCTTTAAAAGCAGAACTCTTACAGACTGAAGGAGATGGGCAGTGGAGCAGGAGGTTCCATCTCTGTCCCCATGGTCACCGATTGTGGATGTGTCCTCCGGGGAGACTGCACGGCAGCCCTTCTTCCTTAGGGAAGAGGCCCCTGGGGCACTTGTGTTGGTAAGTGAGCTCCATGGGTAGCGAGCAGCTCCCTGGAGCAGGAGGATCTCCCAGCAACAGTCACCTAAATACAGCTTTTGTTGGTACCTCTGCATCCCTGCCTGCTCCCTGCCCGGAGGTCAGAGGATTGTGGTTTGCCCGGTGCAGGGGACTACCATTCATGGTGCTGTTTGCTTTTCTGTGCTTGGAGAAAGCCAGAACAGTCCCGGAAGCTTCCTGTGAGCAGGGCACGAGCCTTTGCGGCAGCTTGGCTTGGCAGTGTGGCCTTCCTCCCATCTCCCTCAATGGCTGTCTACACTGGCTGGAATGGAGAGTCGATAGTCTGTACCGCTCACTCTCCAGCCCCTTAGCCTCCTGAACCTAAGAAGCAAGTGTGGCCTGTGTGGCTGAGAAATTGGCTCACTTTTTCTTTATTAATTTGAACCCAACGAGCCACCATGTTCTTGCTGGCACCTGTGATTTGTACAGCCACACACCAGAGTCCAGGGTCTCTGTTCCCACACACTAGGAGTAACATTCATCTAGATTTACAAAGACTACTCCCCTCTAAGTACCTCTATGAAGGCCCAGAAACAGATAGCGTCTTGTCCAAGGACATACTGCAAGGTACCACACCTTCTGAGGCACAAAACCAAAGGTAACTCCATTTTCATTGTCCATTGTTTCTGATGTGTGTGTTTTGGTCCCCTCTATGCAGAAGGCAAAGTGAGCTGTGCATATTAGTGGTGCTCATGTACTGTGGGCAGGGTGCCCGGGCACATTTAAGTGGTTTGTTTTGGAGTAGGGCTGGGGCTGGAACTGAAGGCCTTGGGCATGCTAGGCACCCTCTCTGCCCCTGAGCCACACTTTCAGCCTCCATTTAAGTTTCATTTGCCCCCCCCCCCCCCGCCCCATTTCACAGGTAAGATAACTGAGGCCTATGGACATAGCCCCTCCCTGTCCACTGATCCCAGGACTGCAGTCTAGGGGCCAGTCTTTCAAGGCCTTGGGTAGGTTGGCTCTTCCCCGGGAGGGTGCAGGGCAGTCTGCAAGCTGTACCGCCTGACCAGCCAGTGTGGGTGCTTAGTGAGCTCGCAGGAGCCTCTCGCCTTCCCTTAGTTGTTTTTCCAGCCTGGCTTCCTGAGAATGGACCCTTGTTAGGTGTGCCTGGTTCCCATTGGCTACTTCAGAGCTGGGCTGGGCTGGAGGGCGGGGCCTCGGTGCTCGGTGCGCCTGTTAGGGTGGTGGTGCGTGTGGTGCCAGGGCCACCCCCATGTCTGCTCTTGGCCAAGCTCAGGTGCAGCAACTGCTGTGTGTGTTCCACCTTCACCCAACGCCTCGGGTGTTCCAGCAATGCCAGCCCCCGGGTCGCTCTGCTTCCTGCGCCTGTGACCGTGGGCGGGGAGAACCGCACCGGGAAGAAACCGCATGCCTGGTCAAATTAGAATGCAGGACAACACAAATGCATGCCAAGCCTAAGTGTGTTCCACACGCTACTGGGGGTACCCTTACCCTGAGGATTACCCATCGCTTCCCTGAGGGCAGGCGCCCTGTGTGTCTTGGGTTTTAGATCTTGTTTTAATCTTTTTGGTTTTTTGTTTGTTTGTTTTGTGTTTTGTTTTTCGAGACAGGGTTTCTCTGTGTAGCTTTGAAGCCTTTCCTGGAACTCACTCTGTAGCCCAGGCTAGCCTCGAACTCACAGAGATCCGCCTGGCTCTGCCTCCCGAGTGCTGGGATTAAAGGCGTGTGCCACCACCACCTGGCTTACTTAATCTTCATGTGGCGACCCTGACTGGATCCCTGTGCTGAGTAAAAAACAAGACCCCAAGAAAGGACATAAAGTTGGTGGAAGAATTGGCAAGGGACTGACAGGGCCTCTTGGGACCCACTGCTGCCTGGACAATAAGACCTTAGTGGCTTCCTTGAAGTGCCTTGAAGACACGTAGAAACCATTCATTTAATATAATATAATATATAATATAATATAATATAATATAATATAATATAATATAATATAATATAATATAATATAATATATATAATATATATAATATATATAATATATATAATATATATAATATATATAATATATATAATATATATAATATATATAATATGTAAATTACATATATGTCAAGCAAACAAAAACCAACTGCATAGTGTAGTATCAATGGACTTGTACTAGCAGTCACTCACACTTGATTCTGAAATAAACCCCTGGTTACAGTTGAGTATGCAAAGGGACCATGTCAGGATGGGCAAATGAAGACCACTGATAAAGGAGCTGAGAATCCCAGAGTCTTGGGTACCACTAAAGATGGCAAGCCAGGGCGAGGGGCAGGTGGCCGGGGTTCAGGCCTTTTATGATCTGACCTCCCGTCTGGAGAAGTGTGCCTGGAGTGAGGGCAGGGCCGGGACCAAGCAAACTTACTGTGCAGGTTTTTGGAGGGAGTCAGCAGCCTGCACTGGAGTCCCAGTGTGAGACAGAGCAGGCAGGTGCCCCCCGGCTCCACTGGGGTCTTTGGGGGAAGAACCTGTCTGAGGAGGCGAGGTGGGCACAGGGAAAACCGGAGAAGGCTGGTGGGAAGTAGGAAAGAGCCTGGTAGTTGCAGTGGGGGGTGTAGCCGGGTCTGGGAGATGGACAGTGCAGAAGCTGCGTTCATCAGAAACCCTGGGGCTGCTTCCTGAGCTGTCACTGTGCCCTCCAACTTGGTTCTTTTCCTGCCACCAAGATGAGGACTCACTCTTATTTAGGCTGGCTTGGAACTCGTTATTAGCCCAGGCTGGCCTTGAATCTACAGTGGTCCGCCTGACCTAGCCTCGTACACTGGTGTTCAGCAAGTGTGTTACCATACCCAGTAACCTCATTCCTGATGTGACTTCCTAAGAGTGGCCATCACAAAGGCCCACACAGCCTGCTACCTGTGTCACCTGCTCCCAGGAGGGCACAGTGCTGCCCCCAGCACTCCTGGCAGTTTGAGGTTTATTGGTCTTAAAGGAACACACCAGGGCCCACGGGACCACCATGGCAAATGATGTTCCATGAGCTCTCATCTTGAAAGGCTCATCTGTTGCCTGGGTACCTTCTCAAGACACAAGCATCTCTCAGGATGCACACACAGGGCTGAATATAGGTGCTGTTATGTCCTACACCTATAGTGTCCCCATTCTTGGGGCTATGCCTGTCAATGCTGGGCTCTCTGTGGGGAGCAGAACCCCCAGGGAGCATGTGCTCTGCAGGATGTGACTGTGCCCTTCATCACCAATTCTCCAGTGTGACACTGTTCAAATTCTGACTCACCACCAGAGTCACACCTGTGACATACCATAGCCTGGCCTTTCAGAGTTCCTTAACCTCTCCGAGCCTCAGTGGCCTGATGTGTGAAATGGGGATCCTGTTGGTACCAGGCTCAGGTTTGGGGGAGTCTGTGAGAAATCACACACAGAGCTTCCCTGGGCATGGGGAGTAATTCATGGTCAGAATGTTAACTCCTAAGTCTGTAGCCATCAAGGGGACACTGAATGGCCACAGAAGTATCGGCAGCTCAGGAGTGTGGCAGGTTTGATGTGTGTGGACTGAGTGGGTCCAGGGCCCATTTGGGAAAAAGTCCTTTGTGCACAGCTCACAGGAGTCACCTGAGCCCTTCCAGGTCCCCTGCCTCTGACCAGCTGCTCTTGTCCCCTAGTGCTCCTGCGGGAGGAAGTGGTCCAGCTTCAGGAGGAAGTGCACCTTCTCCGGCAGATGAAGGAGATGCTGGCCAAGGACCTGGAGGAGTCACAGGGCGGCAAGTGCTCTGAGGTTCTCTCAGCCACAGAGCTTCGGGTGCAGTTGGTGCAGAAGGAGCAGGAACTGGCCAGAGCCAAAGAAGCCTTGCAAGGTGAGTGACCGGCAACAGGGGACAGACTTGGGTAGCGACTGCCTGGGTCCTCCCAGCCATCTGAGCCTCCTGGAGTGGGTCCCTGTCACTTCCTGTCTCAGGGTGACGGTTGCTCTGAGGAATGAGTAGCGAATGAGCTTTAAGAAAAATCTTATTTGAAGCCAGGTGGTGGCTGCGCACACCTTTAATCCCCAGCACTCAGGAGACAGAGGTAGGCAGGTCTCTGTGAGTTCGAGGCCAGCCTGCTCTACAGAGTGAGTTCCGGGATGGCAGGGCTGTTACACAGAGAAACCCTGTCTCAAAAAAACAACAGCAACAACCACGAATGTATTTGAAGTTTTTCATTGGCATATGTTTTACATAATAATGGGTTTGCTATGATATTTTCATACACGTGTATAGTGTATTTTAGTCACATCCCCATCCCCCTCTCCTGTCCCTCCCACACCCTCTGTTCCCTTCCTCTTCCCAACCAGAGTCTCATTAGGGCTGCTTACAGGAGGGTGGGTGAAGGGCTATTTCCAGGAACTCGGGCACCTTGCCAATGGTTTCACCACTAAAGCAAATATCTCCTGTGCCTTCAGCAACTCTTAACTGCCCACAGATTCTCAGGGAGGGGTGGGGCCTCAGAAGCCATCTTTGACAGACCAGGACACTGGCGTACTGCTGAGTCTATCCTACATTCTCGGGGTCCTGTGGGGCCTCCCTGAGCATGTCCTGGGCTCTGCCGGAGAAATGCCTGCGGCCCCACATAGCACTCCTGTTCCTCAGGGTGGGCACTGAGAAGGGCGTGGGTTTTTTCTCACCTCTCAGACCAGTGTCGTTTCCCCATGAGATGTAGCATCCTGCAGCCCTGGCACTGTAGAGACACTTGAAGCTATGCAGGTGTGTAGGAAATCTCTTGAGTCGGACCACAGTTCCTTGGTCACCAGCTGGCCAAAGATGACAGTGGGCCTCGAGTGCGACCAAGTTCCCAGAAGCTCCTTTTCTCCTGCAAGCCTTCTTGTCCATGCTCTGGGCTTCAGCGAAGGTTCCAGAAAGGACGCCTGCCTAAGATGCAGCTGTCATGGTGCTTTGAGAAGCTGGTCCCACAATGCCTCCAGAGGACAGGTTTTGGGGTGTGCATGCTTCTGCCTCTGAAAGAATGCATTCAGCCTTCCGACATTGGTGACAGATGTCATCTGCAAAAGTTCACGCTTGAGAACTGTACAGTCCAGTTATAAGACATAAAGAACTGCAAAACCAAGTCTCATATTTTCAGTCAGTTTATGATTTTGTGCTGTCCCTGAGGGCTGCGGGTTGAACACATCTGCCAGACATCTAGAAAATCTTTGTCCCCTGAAGCCAGAACTGGCTTGTTACTTCGACCACCGTGATACAGGGAGTAAAGTTTTTCCTTTGACCTTTCCTGGGTGAGCATCTTGGGTCAAGGAGGGAGTGTTTGAGCCTTGTAGTCCACAAGACACCATGCAAGGGGCCGCAGTGGTGGGTCACAGGTTGTCTTGACAGGAGCCTGGTCGAGCATTGCTGGAGGGTGAGGCGTCTGGGGTATGAACTTTCTTGCTGTCCAGTTTTGTCCCAGATGCAGTTCTCACTCACATTGTGAAGGAAGAGGGATTTTGTTGGCCAGTGAGCCACCTGCATCCCAGCAGCTTTCCCTGACCCTAGCTTTGTTGTGTATGGGTGACTGAGCAGGTGGCCATGTGATACCCCGTTGACATCCCCAAGGATGTGTGAGGAGCCATTGAGAGAATGAGTGTGTGTAGCATTCAAGGCGTGTAGGACACCTTGTTGGTGGGGATCTTAGTTCAACAATGTCTTACTTAGGATTTCTATTGCTGGGAAGAGACACCATGACCATGGCAACTTTTTTTTTTGTTTCTTGTTTTTTCGGGTTTTTTTTGTTTTTTGTTTTTCCAGACAGGGTTTCTCTGTGTCTGTCCTGGATCTCACTCTGTAGACCAGGCTGGCCTCAAACTCACAGAGATCCGCCTGGCTCAGCCTCCCGAGTGCTGGGATTAAAGGTGTGAGCCACCCCCCCACCCCACCCCCCACCCGGCTTGTGGCAACTCTTATAAAGGAGAACATTTAGTTGAGGCTGGCTTGCAGTTCAGAGATTTAGTCCATTTATAGTCATGGTGGGAAGCCTGGTAGCACACAGGCAGATGTGGTGCTGGAGAGGTAGCTGAGAGTTCTACACCCAGATCTGCAGGCAGTCTAGTGATTGGCAGACGGCAGGGGCTAGGCCTACCTTCTCAGATCTGCTCATAGCTGCCACCTGTCTGGCTTCTAGGCCCAAGGCACCCCAGAGCCCATGCACTCAGAGCAACAGTGTCCCCGAAAAGCTAGTGGCTGGATGCCTCCAGCCGCCCACAGCATTCCACCTGGAATCCTGCAGCGTCATAAAGAACTCCACTTCCGCACCAGCCCCTGCACAGGGTGCACAAATTGCAGACAGATGTGCAGGTGGAGGTTGGGCATGCAGAGGGTTTTATGCACAGTAATGAGGAGAGTGAGCAGACGTGAGCAGACGTGTGCCTGCAGAGCAGGCGGCAGATGGCGGTGACACTTGTTAACAGCCGGTGGCCCCAGGGAAAAGCAGTGCCCCGAAGACTTCCGCCCTGGCAGAGTCCCCGCTCTGCCATCTTGCAGTTTAGAGGAGACTTGAAGTTTGCGGCTTGGGTGAGGATTGGGAACCCAAGCAGGCACTGGAACAGTGGTCCCCAGTGCTGACATCAGATTGGGAAAAGAATCAAGTGTGGGAAGCCAGGGGCTTGGAAGGCACCTCTGCTGCCCTGGAGGTGAGCGTGGAAATGTTGGCTTCGGGTGTTTGGTCTCCTCATGAATTTAAAAGTAGAAAGTGAATGAACAAGAAGCATGGAATTGGGGGTGTATCTAAATGCACCCCTAGATACTCCATGACCCCCCACTGTGCTCCCTGAGAGCTTGCACGACCATCTGGTGTCTTATAATTTCCCAGGATTCCATTTCCCGACTTCCCTGTAAATCGCGGCAGTCATGAAAATTGCTTTCTTTCATTTTTCTTTTAATCTCTTAACAGTGTGTTGAACATGCTGAGCAATTTCCAACAACAATAAATACGATTCGAGGACATAATTTTTAATGACTGCATAATGTTCCACCAAATGGAGGTTCCATTATTTATTCAGCCATTTTCCTGTCACCGGGCATCTGAGCGGTTTCCATGTTTTCTCTTCTCTTCCTCTTTTGGCCACTATACCATGACGAAGATCTGGTTTGAAAACCTGTCTTTTCCTTTTGTTATGTTCTGTATTGCATTTCTAATTTAGTGTGTGTGTGTGTGTGTGTGTGTGTGTGTGTGTGAGAGAGAGAGAGAGAGAGAGAGAGAGAGAGAGAGAGAGAGAGAGAGAGACTCCTGTTCATGTGCATGCACACATTGGCCAGGGTGTTTGTGTGCACAGCTTGCAAGAATCATTTCTTTCCTTCCATTATGTGGGTCATTGGGATTGGCAGCAGGAGCCTTTACCCTCTGGGCCATCTCGTCAGCCCTGTTGTTTGTTTGATTGATTTTTGAGAAAGGGTCTCATGTGTTCCAGACTGGCCTCAAAATTGCTGTAGTGTAGGGTCTGGCCTTGAACTCCTGATCCTCCTGCCTCTGAGTCCTAAGTGCTGGGATTATAGGCTCCTACACCTTGTTTATGTGGTGCAGAGGGTCAAACCCAGGGCTTTGTGAATGCTAGGCATGCAGTCTACCAACTGAACCACACTCCCAGCCCCTCATTTTATTTATTTATTTGTTTGTTTGTTTGTTTGTTTATTAAATTTATTTTATGTATGTGTATATATGTGCATGTGCAGTTACCTGTGGAGGTCAGGAGAAGGTGTTGGATCCCTAGAGCTGGAGTTAAAAGTAGTTGTGAGCCACCAGGTATGGGTGCTGGGAACTCTACTTGGGTCTTCTGTAAGAGAAGTGTGAGCGCATAACCACTGAGACATCTTTCCAACTCCTGTTTGTTTCTTAACATACTGTTTTCTCAAACTTTTCTCAAGCTCTTAGGGAACTGAAAAGCCACAAAAGCTATTTCTGTGGTTTGAAATATCACTGTTTACCATTCAAGATCTTAACACTGTTGAAATATCTGAATTCTCGCTAATTTATTCTAAAATAACAGCAATGAACTGATGCATGTTAACATCACTTGCACTGATTTTGTTTTGTTTTGTTTGTTTGCTGTTGTTGTTGTTGTTGTTGTTTGCTTGTATCTAGACAGGGTTTCTCTGTGTAACAGTCCTGACTGTCTTGGAACTCACTTGGTAGACCACTCAGCAGAGATCTACCTGCCTCTGCCTCCCGAATGCTAGGATTAAAGGAAGGGTCACCACAGCTGGCTAGCATTGATTTTTTTTTTTTTTTTTGAAGTGAGAAGTAACTTGAAAGGGGTTGAATAGAGTGCAACATGGTGTCTGATGTTTCCTATTTGTTTTTTGAGGCAAGCTCTCTCCATAGCCCTTGGAGCTTACTATGTAGACCAGGCCGGTCTCAAACACACAGAGATCCTCCTGCCTCTGCCTCTTGAGTGCTGGGATTAAAGGTGTGGTGTACTGCCATGTCCAGCTTTGTTTTTATTTGTTTATTCATCCATTTATTTGTTTGTTTGTTTGTTTAGGGGTTTTTAATTTCATTTTATTCATTCATTCATTCATTCATTCATTTTGAGACAGAGTCCAGCTGTGTAATCTCATTCACAGCAATCCTCCTGCCTCTGCCTTCCAGGTGCTGGGATTACAGGTATGAACTGGCATGCTTGGCTTTACTGCTGTTTCTGAAAAGATCCTCTGCCTACATCATAGCAGAGTGCAAGTCCTCTGGGCTCCCGCAGTGTTCGGTTGAAAGCTGACATCACACATGAGGTGTTGGAAAATAGAGGAGGGTATCAATTACCTTAATGATGTAACCATGACTACACCTTGTCAGCAGGAAAACTCACCAGGTGATTGTGTCCTGAAGAATTCATTGC